CGGCTGAGATCTGTTCCCGTACGCACGGACGACCCAAATAAAAAACACGCACCGACAGCCCAGATTGCATCGCACACGAACAGTCCATATTGAATCGCACATGGACTGTCCAGATTGAATCGCGATGAACGGCCCATATTCACTCCCTATTTAATCGCGATCGGACGATCCAGATTAAAAGCGATAGATGGCCCATATCAAAAGCGGATGGGTATAACTAACCCCATCCACACCCAAACCCTAACCCTAGCCGCCAGAACCCCTCGCCGGAGAAGACAGCCCAGCCGCCAGGGAGCTGACCGCCGCCACCCGCCACCGTACTGGAGAAATTTTTTACCTTCAAATGAGGTAAAAATTTTCCCCCTTATATGAAATTTAATTTTAAACTCACCCATGGCCAAATCGAAGTGAAAGAACAGATTGATTGCTCGAAAAATACCGCCGAAGCTCGGCGGCACTGCCGCGGGGTGTTTCAAAAAATGCCTCCAATGAGGCCCTTTCTGATTCCCGTTCGATGTGATTTTTCTACCGTTATGACCACTATTTCCTTCTCTATAGGTTGACAGAAGCAAAACACTCAATTGCAACGTGAGCCAGAGGAGCCGTCGCACCGGAGAGCCCCACCGCCGATGAGTTTCAGTTTTCTGTGTCTTTTCGGCCCACCGAGGGCCCTAAGTGTATTTTCTCGCAGGAACCGGTGCAAGTTCGGCTAAATTCGACCGAAAACAGCCAACCTGAGGCGGATCGCCGCTACGGGCAGTGGCACTGTCGCCGGAGGACGGCGGAGCCGCCGTGCTGTAATTTTTAAATTGGCCGAGTGGGCCCTAGGTCTAATTTTTGGGTTTATTTGGGACACTTGTAGGTACCGTAAGCGCGTTTTATTTCCCGAAGAAAAATTCATGGAACTTATGGACCACCTGTAGGCGTAGTAACCATCTAGTTTTCGGCGTCAAATCAAGTAAGGACCCCTCACCCTATTTCCTATCATAGATGTGAAGTTTGAATAAATAATAATATGGTCTTTTGTACAAGTTAGATAAATATGCATAATTAATTACGGATTGCTAATGGAGTCCGAAATCGGATATTGTTCTCTGTTGATTCCTATTGATTTATTTTACAGTTTAAAGGCATGATGGTGTCTGGTTTTAGAGTCTTAAATGCATGTATTACTGTATTACTTAACCACTGTGTGATTTTAGAATTTAAGATATGATTGTATTACCGGGTACATGTTCGTTGTTTATGTAATTGTGTTTAATTTGGTAATGGAGATTAAGGATAAACAGGAAAGGGATGTGATCTAATAAACAGATCAGGTGACAGTCTCACTAGATATCTTGGAAGATGGTGGACGGGTCGAGTTCATAGGGAACCCTACCGTGAACGTTGTCTCATACCGGACGGGGTATGAAGACTTGGTCATTTGGCGCTCATACCGGATGGGGTATGGGGACGGCCCGCTTCACCCTCATACCAGACGGGGTATTGAGGTTTAATGTCTTGGCACTCATACTAGACGGGGTATGAGCTTGCAATTAAGATTGTTAATGGAAAGGTTCACGTGTAGCGAGAAAACCCTTATGGATCCCCATAGATACTAGTAGGTTGATAAAAAAAAGATAATTGTTGTTTGATGATTTGAATATAAAAGTATAATATGTACTATGTTGCAGATTATATATGAAATCATGATATTTATAATGTTATTGTTTCCATAAGTTGTTTTTATAAATCTCACTGCGGTAAGTGGACGGTAAATGATTTTATTATTGATAAATAAATTTATTTAAAATTTGTGCTCCATTGGTTATTTTTGGTTTTCTACCAACCTTTACTTTTGTGACAGCGATATATTGTGATGTCCTTATTGGACTAGTGTAGCTCACCCCTTATTTAACCATTTCAGATCAGGAGGACCCGGTTCCCAAGGTCGATCCGCAAGAAGGCTACAGGTAGACCATAGATACTTTATAGTTTCTTTTATTTTTTTTCATTTTTCGTATTTCTTTCAGAAAATTTATTCCGTATTAGTATTTTTGAGTTATCGTGTAAGGGATCTTAACCTTAATCTTTATTTCGCTTCCCCACTCAAATTATTATATGTATTTCTTTTTAAATTTCCGATGTCGTTACATAAATAAATGCAAACTAAAGATAAAAACTCAAGATTTTATTTCGAAAATCCTCTCGTGTAAAAGAAAAATCTATTAATCAAACTCTAAATCAAATTTACTAATTATAACATAAATGTATTTCTACGTTTAGAAATTTAACATATTTTAAGTGCTTATAAACTTTAATTAAGTTTCAAGAAATCGAGACATTTCTAATCACCAGAACTGTAAAGAGAGAATTTAAAATATTTAAGTCAAGAATTTATGTCTCCCAATGTATAGATATTCATTGTAAGCCTTTTATTATTTAAATCTCGCTCTTAACTTTAATGCTATATTATCCTAAAGTACTGTTAAATAGAGTAATCTTATCTTATATACTTTCATGAATAAAAAACTATATATTAAACTACCATATAAAAGAAAAAGAAAAAAAAAGTATTGTTGTCATATAACTTCATATCAATTAAATTCATGAATTAGGTATAAGCAAACTCGAATTGCTATCGACCATAAGGAAAACAATTATTTATCAAACTATATCTGATTTACCATAGAGGTAAAAGGTAGACAATATAAATATACGATATAAAAGATATAAATATATACTAATAACAAGTATCATAAAAAAAACGTTGTTTGTTTTGTTTATTTGTAGGTCTTAAATCGATTGTGTTTAGACGAAATTATAACATCAACCAATTTAAAATTTTCAACTCATGAATATTAATTTTATTAGTTAATAATTTTAGGATAAAAAGTATTGAACACCGTAGTTAGCTAATGAAAATATATATATATATATATATTCATAAAATAAACAATTATGTAGATATTTACTTGATACACATTAGTTTTGCGATACTTGGTGGTTTCTTTCTATATATAATAAAATTATTAGAATCCTCTCGTAAATTTTCAAATTTTGGATTATTTTGTGTTGATATGAATCTTGTATCATTTTTAAAATGGCATTATTATTCATCATTCTATCTCTTGCATTATCTTAGTTGATTTCTCAATCATACTTCTCTCTATAATTTTTTTAATTTATATTTGATATGATAAATACTCTAATATCTATTAATATTTTTATATTTATAATTAAATATTAAATGCAGGTGTATTAATTCTAGAATCGTGTTCGTCTAATACTGATTGCAAGAATATTAAATATCCACTGAGAAACGCAATTTGCATTCACAAGGAATGCGCGTATTCTCTCGATTCCATTTTAGTTTTTCGTTGCAAAAATAACAAAGACGACCTAAAGTTGTGCCCTCCAAAATCCTTCTTGAAGACTAATGATAAGGTCAAATGTGTTTGTACTTATATGATAATTTGTACATGTGTTGGATGTAAAGTTTGAGATGTATTTTGTATAAGCTCTATTATTTTTATAACAATAAACTCATATATGCAATAAATTTTCTTCAAAGATTTCTCAAGTATTTGAAAATAATATACATACCATTGTGTCATTTTCTAACAAAAGCATCACACCAAATTAACGAGGAACAAGTTGTGATAAGTATCAAAGATGAGTATGTTTTTGTAAAAGGATTCAAATTTTAATTATCATATTTATATACATATATCATAATGTTTTATCAAACAAAAGTTTTCTCATAAGTATGCAAAGATTGCTTTTTATTCATAAAAATAGTTAGCCAAGTAATATGAACAAGTATCAAAGGTTCAATTTTTTCTAGTATTATCCTAGAAAAAGCTGAAGCCCTAAAGTTTATATTCAGTTCATCTAAAGGTTAATTCTTAACAATCGTTGAAGACACGCTCAACCCTTATTAATTATGTGTTATCATCTTTTAAGTGCATGAGTATCGTGCTTAGTATCTTAAAAATAAAAATTTAATAACCCGTAAATAATTACAACTCTATTGACAATTATTATTATGTACAAAGAAAAAACTTAACTAGCGGTATATATAATTACTAAAAATATAAAAATAATAATAATATATTTATATCTTTCACGATCATTTATATGACATACTACTATATCATTAACGACTCTATATTTAAACTAATTTATATTATCAATATTTAACTTTATTAAATATAATAAAGATTGTTGTAATTTACTAATTTTTTACCGTTCATTATTAGGACGACAAATCTTGAGGAGTAATCTCAAATTGTTTTAGTCTCTGAATCATGTATATCATAACTTCAAGTATATAGTTTTCAAATTTGTCACACTTTCATATTTTATCAGTAGAAAGTTATATGTCGTGTTAATTGTGTTAATTCAATTAGATTCAATTAAAGAAGAATTCAATAAAAGCAAACTACAAGATAAGATATAACATTTTTTGTTGAATAATCTTGGTGTAAAAAAAAATTATAAACCAAACTCCGAATAAAATCTACTATTATTAAAAAATGACGAGTACAAATGATAAATATAAATTCGATTGTCAAAAAAAAAAACACCCTCTTCTTCTTTTTTTTTCTTATGGATTTAGAATTTTTGATCTTACCCAAACATACATATACATATATTATAAATGAATTATTCATAATTTAGGAGTCAAAAAACAAAAATGTCACAATAAATGAAATAAAAGACTTACTAAATTAAATATAGTTTCATCAAGTTATATTGTCTTGATATTAAAAATAATATTTAAGAAAAACAAAAAGACAAGTGGGAGAAAGTGAGTTTACGTAGGCAGTACAGTGTGTTGTTGGTCGTTTTCGTTCGTACATAGAGCAAATGAGAGGAAGAAAAATCAATAGCATAAATGGTTAGGACCCATACTAGACCAACCTTACCTAACTCCAATTATATATATATATATATATATATATATTACACCCCATTTATACTCCATATCTGTCCATACCCATCTCATACAAACAAACTCCCACCTTTTTAAACCTCCTTCCTCTTTCTTTTTCTTTTTTTACTCAATTGAATTTTCTGTTTATATATATAATTATATAATGTTAGAAAGAGAAGTCTATTGTCTAATATATGTAGATACCCATAAATATTCATATGTAAATAATTTCATTCTCTAACAATATCTTTTCATAGTGTAGTATGGCGTAATGATGCACTCGGAAATGTGCAGAATAAAAAAGACCTTCATGCTTAAAAACTTTGCAGTGTACATCAGCTCCTTAAGCAACTCCCTTTCTTTCTCTCTTTTTTTTCTTTTTTGGGTAAAATTCACCTCCAACTCTCTCTTCTCTCTACCAGCCTGTAAAGCAAAAACACCAAGTGGGGATAATAATTGGAATTCAATTTTTGCTGAACAAAGAAAGAAAACTAGGAGACTATCAATCTCTTCTCCCACATCATATGCTTTTCTTACTTTTTCTTTTCTTGTTTTTTTAATGCAGAAAGCCAAATACAACATTTATCAAGCTACACTTCCCTGATCAGAAGCTTCTTCGTAGTAATAAGGGGTCAGTTTGCCATCTTTCTTGGCTGTCTTGCCCTGGTTCTCTCCTCGTCCTGCTTCTTGCAACATCTTCACCACTCTTCTCATCGATGGACGATTGATCGGGAGAGGACTTGTGCAGAGTAGGCCAATGTTGAGGACCTTACATATATCTTCCTTGAAACAAGATTCTAGTTTAGGATCAATTACGTTATCTACGCCTTTCTGATCCAAATTAGTGCACACCCACTTGACCAAATCCTTCTCTCCGAACTCCGGATCAACAGGATGTCTACCTGTGACTAGCTCCAGAATGACCACACCAAAGCTGTATATGTCACTCTTCTCATTCACTCGTAGAGTGTATGCGTACTCTGAAACAAGCACACAATAAATGGGTTTACTTCAAATTTAGCTTTCAATATGTACAATATACATGTGTGTATTTGACAATTAAAAAAAAAGTGACACCACTAGAAACAAGTCATAATAACAAATCAGGCATGGTTATGATGGCTGTTGAAAATTTAATCATGTAAGCAGAGTATGTGAGTCAATGGTAGCCATCATACAAAACAAGAATAATCTCAAAGCATTTGGATTTTTGTCATTTGAAATGATAAAAGCAGTTCATCCATTAGTGGATAGAAGAATAGAATCAAAACCACAAACTTGCATGCCTCACAATCAAATCCCTATTTGGAAATATAGCCCTGCATTTAAGCTACAGAAGCAAAAACCCATTATAAGCTAAGAATCATCAAAAAGAGAGCAAATGAAGAACAAAACAAAATTAGGTATAGAAGACTAAAAGCAGCAAGAACTTCACCAGCAGAATAATTAAACCCACAGATCTG